TATAAAAATATACCAATTTAATTTATATAATAAAAGTTTCGTATTTATATTCTTTTATGTCATTTTATATTTACTAACTAGTTTACCACGCACTTATATTCCAATAACTTAGCTTATAGGTTAATTTTACTAAACATAACCTTACTTATTTTATTAAACAAACATTTTTAATAAAAAGCAAATTTAACGATCAGAAACAATTAAAGTAATAGTTTTCATCTTACATAGTTTTCTTAGTTGTGTAAGTCGAGTTTTGCTCATTTTTTTTGTATGAATAATCCTTGTCTTGGCTTGCATGTGAGGTTTTAAGCTTTTTTATGAGTCTTTGTTGATAAGTGATTATAATGGTATGATTTTATTATACTTATGATGTTTCTATGTATAGATAGAGCATCATGTGAGTTGGAGGTGTGTTTGATGTCTTAAGCTTTCGGGTTGTTTCTACTAGGTAAGAGAATCTGATCTTGATCTGTGTTGTGTGAGATTTATCAATTAAATGTTTTGCATGTTGTTGCTTTATTGCATATTGGGAATGAAAATTAACCGTTTTTGATGAATTTGATTTGGTGTGTATTACTGGTTTGATTTGTATGATTTGGATGATTATTTCTGCGTGAGTGTTTGTGTTGATTCAATTGAACAAATTAATATGAGCTCTAACTTTTAAAAATTGTTTTTTTAGCAAAGACTAAGAGGGAAATACCAAATTGATCAATTGAACAAGTCTCATTTCTCCCGACTTACAAAATTTAATCTACTGATATCTGGTACAACGTTTAGTAGTAGTAGGCTAACGCTGAGCGCCAACCTCGTTGTGTAGGTCTAGGAGCATTTTAGCTCTAGGTCGTTGAGCGCTACTTTGTATTGCTGAGTGTCATGTTTTGGTACTGAGTAACCGTTGGACACCATTGAGCGTCATCTATGTATTACAGGTTTGGAGAATTTTAGCTTCAAGACACTGAGCGCCGGAAAGTTCCGCTGAGCGCAACTTTTTGCAAGAAGAATGTCGTTAAGTGCCAAAAATGTCATTGAGTGTCAGTTTGTATGTTGGCTCTTTTTTCTCGTTTGGTTGTTTGAGATATGTCTGTGATGGACCTTATGCATGTTGATGATTTTGATTGTGTTTAATTGAGATGAAAATGTTGTGAGAATGTATGATGACGAAGATGTTTAAGGAATTTCGAGAAGAAATTCTTTGTGGTAGTAACTTTAGTGTATGCATTGATGTATCATATTTAGTATTGAGATATCCTGATACTCTAATAACCATTTACACTCAAATAAAGTAGAATGAGTTATGTGCTGAGAGTTGCAGAAGGTCCTAGTGAATTGACTTTTTTGGTCCTAGCGCGAAGGGGATTAACCTCGTGTGTGATAAGGTGATAACTAGAGCTGTCAAAATCGGCCATTCGGCTTGGCCCACCACGGGATTGGTCACTTAGTGAGCCAACCCAACCCGATTAACTTATTAGCGAGTTCAAAAAATTCAAACTCGGCCTAACTCACTATAGTTTGGTGGGTTAAATGTATTGACTCACTTAATTATAATTTTTTTTTTCTTCAATCCCAAAAAAGTTACAAATTTTTTTTATTAAAATCTAAATAAAGTTCAATCCAAATAAAATGATGTTAAACTCCAAATACAATCTAAAATCACAAAAATACAATACAATCCAAATACATTTAGAAATATGAAAGTATTTGGGATTTTCAATTTTTTTAATATAATATAATATTTAGAATTTATGGGTGAGTTGGTGATCCAACCTGGCTTATCACCTGTTCAACCTAGGTGAGCCGTGTTCTTAGTGGACCAAGTTTATTTTTGGCCCGTGACGAAATTTACAATTTTTTTAATCTAACTTGATTCAAACTCATGGTAGGCCATGTTGACTCATGGGTCTTAATCAATTTTTACGACTCTAATGATAACCCTTTTGGCTATGATAAGGACCACCACAAGGGAACGTCTCAAGTGGATTTTGATGTTAAGGACATGTATTCGGATAATTGAATTTGGTGTCAACCGTCTGTGTTCATGTATATGATTCATTGTATTATTCATGTTGTATTCAACATGATTTAATTGTTTTAGGATAACTTTTTTGTATGCAAGCTTATCCTGTGTTTTTGTGTTTTTTATGTTTTTTTTTTCTCTTGCTATGATCATTTCACGGTGTGACCAGACGAAGAGTTAGGTGGTGATACATCTATGATGAAAACAAAGATGAAGTAGTTCGTAGATTCCTAGTGATTATTCTATATAGAAATTCCTTTCTTTTAGAAATTCATTTTTTCTAGCTATCTGTTTCATTAATTTTATAATATTTTTTTAGTAATTTTATATTATTAATGAGATGTTACATAAAAAGAAAATTAATAATATTAATTAAAATATAATAAATTATATTAATTAAAAAGAAAATAAATTTATTGACATTTCAACTTATTAATTACAATATAATTGAGAATGAATAAAAGTAATTTGTTGCTTTTTAAGTGTCCAAATTTTTAAAATATATATTTTGCTTTAATCTAATTGCTATTTTACAATCACCAGTAGGATTCAATATTTTCCTTGACATTTATATTCTTATTATTAACTAAATTTTTAATTACTTTACGTATATATTAATCGTAAATTTAAAATTACTTTATATATACCTTTATTATAATGTAAATTAAACAGAATGAAATGGAAAATCTTATTAATATTTTTAATGAAGTTAAATAATTCATTGCATTTCCTAGTTTCTATAAAGTAAAATTAAATTAGAATTAAAACTGAGCAAAGCATAATTTAATTAAAATGTGGACAACACATATTAAGAAACGTGTTAATTGGTCATAGGTCAATTGTTTTTCAAAGTTAAAGACCAAACAGAAATGAAAGTTTTACACTAATTCTACTTTTACTTATAATCTAAGGACAAAAATATATTTATTCCTAAAATAATAATTGGAATTAGAAAAATACTACTAAAAAAAAAAAAAAAAACAACAACATAAGAAACACATAAAGAAAGGAATTCGAAAAACTAAAATAATATATTCAAAACTTATATATTCTCAAAAATAATTTCCATTAAGAACTTTAGTGAGTATAATAACATAAAAAAATTAATATATAACTATTCAAATTCTTATATTTTAAACATTCATTATTTGCATATTGAAAAATAAAATTGCACGTGAAACAGTAAATACTTAGGTATTAGAAATACTATATTATGAAATCAATATATCAAAGAAGTGTGAAAGAGTTATCTTCTTTTACTTAAAATTTGAACAGAACAAAAGAGATATGAGTAAAAAGAATAAGTATATGTTTGATTTTCTTTTTCTGTAGTAGTATACATCAGACTCCTCTATATTTCATCTGTTCTCTTTCTTCAACTTATTTAATTTTATGTTTTTTTATTTATTAGAATTAAATGACAAACGTTATAAAATAAATTGCAAACATCCTTATTTAATTATCATTATATTCATCTACTGAATTCTAACAAATTTGTGGAAGCCACAACACCTTTATGTTCTGGTAAGTTAGACCCTTCTGAAAATTACAAAAAAGTTAAATGCATACCATAAGTTATAAGATGAAATTGAACTTGCAATATCGACTATGGTAACAGTTACCACTACGAGAACCCTTATGACTGATATTCATGAAGTAACTTTTTTTTTTATTATTTAAGAGTGTACTTGTTGATATCAATTATTAGATTGAGAACTTACTATTAGATAAAAAATATAGCTGATATTTAGGACGTAATTTTTTTTTCTTTAAGAGTGGAACAGAATATTACTAGTTGATTGTAACCTAACCTACCTCTTTTATGACACAGGACAACTAATGTACCTTGTAATATTCTCCATTAATGAGAAGGATTGAACTTTTCTAAATTTTGGAATCGGTCAAATATCATGAGAATGAATATTTATAATTTATAATCTTCTCTGTAACATTAACAATGTTAGACATCATTAAGATTATTGATGATTCAAAATCGTCTTTGATTAAAGTTACTTAATCAGACCCACACAATTTATCAAAGTAATTAGCCTTCTTCTGCCTATTATTGTCTCCACCATTCCTTTTACAACGTATCCTTCTTTCTATAATTCCTTTTAAAATATAACTTATAATGTTAAAAACATTACTTCCACCATTACTTTGTCTAGACTTAGATCTCTTCCTATTCTTGTTCTCATTCTTAGATATTGTACCCTATTTTTGGTAAGAGAGTTCTCTATTCCATACATCAAGATTTGCTTTAAATAGTGATGCAATTTTGGTAATGAGAATAACAACAATGATTATCCTCATATATGATTTGTCTGATTACTTTTTCATTACTTATCTAGTATGAGTGCTCTATTTCAGATATAAGTTATTGACTAAGGAATTTGCATTGTAGAAATTCTCAAACTCCATTCATAGTCATACTACAATCTTTTTTTTAAACTTGCTGAAACATTTTTTTACTAGAGTTCAAAGTACATTGAGTTTTCTCTAACAACGTTCTCTTATGCTTTTCAGTAATGAAAACGTCAAACTTAGATTCAACTTTTTAAAATCTCCAGGATGCCTCGTTGAAAAAGAAACATGTATCTTTAACCATCACACTAAAAATTCATCCATTGTAGTAAATCTACAAACAAATTCACTAAGAATAAGTTCCTCTCCCTCAAATCAAAAGTTTCTCCATATCAACAGTAAATACTTACTTAACAACCCTTCTCAGTTAAGTAACCACTACACTTAATTGCAAGACGACGTCTATTTATATAAATAGTTATACCTCTCCATGAATCACATCAAGTATCATAGAATAGAAACGTAACATTTTAAAACAAGCACAAAAGATAGAGATAATGATGCAACTTACTATAGAAGACAACACTTCTCCAAACTAGTACAGAAATTGTTCTTCACTCCGCCACAATCAAAGGTAACCCAATCTAGGTTGGGCTGACAAAAAGAACATTATCACGTGTTAGAGTAGGAGCTTAATAAACACATTTATTGATAACAAAGGATTGCGGAGTATTTACACAGTCCAAACACTCAAGACATTAACATAAACTTTGCAATGCACCACCCCCATATAAACTAACAAGTTAACATCAGATCACAATGTCCAATTATTTTTGTTGTAACAATGGGAGATCTCTCTTTTACTTCCAGTCAAGCATGTCCAACAGCCACAAGACTTCTTCCTTGGAATTTGCAACATCACAGAAATCCATCTGGATCCCAAATACATCCATAAGATCTTCTTTTTTATCTTCCATGAATAGCAAAGATATCCACGCACGGATGCCAGTCAAAAAAGGGTAGTCAGGGGCTATGTCTAGGTAATCAAAAGCCAACGCTCTATATGATGAGCGATCAATATAATCAAACATGGATTTATTTATTATGCGAGCAAACTTATTTGAATCCTTCTTCCCAACCATGACAGAGACACTAACATTCTGATTTTGTCCAGAAGGGATAGTAAACCTGGGTTCCACAGGAAAAGTCATCTTGTATTCCGAACCTTCCAGGTGATATTTGAGCATTTCACAAACCCCAGATGCAGGAATTCTAAAACCTGCTTGAAGGACAGAACCAGGCACCACTTCTGAGAAGATTAATATGTTTTCAGCCCAAATGTCAATGAAAAAATCCAAATCATCAAATGAGATTCTTGGAGGGAGAAGAATTCTTCGATGCAGACGTTTATAAAAGGTTCTGTACAAGTTGTAGTAGGTTAAAGTAGAAGGATTAGGTCGCTTGCAGATTGAAGGCCATCTCTTGGCACACAGACATTTCCAAAAGAAATCATCTCTAGCTATGTCTTTCCACAGCTTACAAACAGCCATGCAAGAAGCAAGATCAACACCCTCCAGGAAAGGGAAAACAACCTTCAGAACTTCTTCAGATGCCATTGTTGATCATACACTGCAATAAAAAAACCAAAACGTAAATACCACTAGGATTACAAGAAAATGGAAGCGAACATATGAAGAATAAATTATCCAAGGCCTTTCAAGAGCAAGACTCAACATATAATTCCCACATCAAATAAAAAATGTAATAATTAATGATTGACAGCACATTGAAATGCATAAAATATTCATGTTGCCTTCCAAATAGAGTTACTATAAACAGAAAATTATTCATTTGATAAATTCTTAAACATTGAAAAGGAAATTACGGTGTGGCAAGGACCAAACCTCCACCAAAACAGTGATGTCTACACATAGTTGATACAATTCTTCATTAATGCAACTTAAATTTAAAATTTTCAATTTTTAAACATGCTCCATTTCATCACACTGCACCAAAAATCATAGTAAACATTATTCAATCCATAAAAGAATCGCCCTCTTTCTTTCAGAATTTCGAAGGAAGAGTCTGCCAGATTAGAAAGAAGAAATTATGAACTGTTTGAAGTTGGTTCATCTAATCTACAACGTAAGTCCCCGACTTAAACACAAACCATGTGACAGTTTTTAAAAAATTGAGTATAATGAGGCAAGTTATAGGATTTTCAAACTCGACAGTGTTTGACAATCTCATTTCACCATATTTGATGAAAAATCTGTATATTGGAAATTTAAGGACTCAAACAGCATTACAAAAAGATGTTCATGTTTTGGCTATCCCCATCCTCACAAACTTCACGTTAATGAAAGAATAAAATGAACAAGGAAATAGATACATAACTTTTAGCTTAAGCATACAAGAGGATAAACAATAATTACACCGCCCTTGCAACATCCATCATAAAATTCTAATAAAAGACGGCTACTTAATCTTCGAAAAATAATCTGCAACCAAAAATCAGAGTGAAGTAAATTTAGATTAAAATTCTAAATTGATCATACAGGCAAAAAGCTGCTAAGGACTACATTAGTCCACAGACTTTTGCAGCCATATTTGTGTCTCAAAGAACTAAAACATCATCTTCATTCTCGTGAAAAACTAAAGAGAATAAAAGGATGAGTTTGGTTACTATTTCATATCTTTGAGACTAGCTTGTTGAACAATACATTTAAAGGAGTGAAATGGCAACAAGTAGCATCTGAACCATCAATTTACTCAGAACGTATCTTTGATCATTTCGTACTTGGTAATGTAGCAAAGTTTACTTTCGTTGCTGATGTTTCACTTTAACACTTTACAAATAATCAGCAGATCACACCAGTAGACACCCTAAAACTCAAATCCATCAACATGCAACAACAATAACCTTGCCTCAAAATCATTTGATATAGTTATGTAAAAATAAATCATTTCTATATCTTAGTTTTACAAGAACCAAAGAAAGATAAAGCATTTTACACTCCATATCAATAACTTCAACCAACACCATCAATAACAAGAGATGGGCCAGGGTGGGGGAAGGTGCATGAACATCATGACATGATTCATGATCACGACAAAGTCACGAAAGAGAATGACACAGAGAAAACCCAAACTGAAACTAACATAAATGTGAAGAGCCCCAAATTTTTGTTAAGAGAGATGAAACCAATGATTGTGCAGGAAGAAGGGAGACAATGAAGCTAAGGACAAAACTACATAACTAGAAGTGACCAAACAGGTTGGGAAATGCCTTAGTAACAAATGAAACGTGCTGAACTGCCTATTTATTTTGGTTCCTTCGTCATAAACCAAAAAATGAAATAAAGTTGCAATAACATCGTTTAACACCGCACGTATGAAAAATAAAATAAAATAGTTAAAATTAACAAATTCGAAATAACAGAACCCTGTCACTCTACAAAGCATGCATCCAGCAATGAGTTGTCAAGCTAGAAGGAAAAATGAAGAAAAACCGATTGATAACGAAACTATTAGAATAATGCAGAATCATGCAAACGATGATGAAAAACCTAAAAATTGAACATCAAATACAGAAGCATGACACCGAGAAGAGGGGGTTACCGGCGTTAGGTTAGAGAGATAGTGGCGCGTGGCGCACCGCAGAGGAGGAGTGGTGAGGGAAATAGATCTGATCCCGAAGGTAGAAGGAAAGCGAAGAGAAGAGAGGGTGAGGGGAGTGGAAAGCGAGAGGTTAGAAGAAAAAAAATAGAGAACTTGAGAAAGTGTGAAAATGATAGAGGGTTAGGCCCAAATTCTCCTGATCCATTCAAACTGGGCTTAGCCCAAACATTGATTAAAGGACGAAAAAACAATTTGAGGGTTACTCCCTACACCACCCCACTTTGCTTCCTGCACCACTACATTTTTTTAAAATTCCAAAACTATCCTTTATATTTTAAAATATCCTACACCCCACCTCTTTTCTTCAACGGATGTCAACATTCGTTGAAAAAAAAATTCTTCCACGAACATGCCACATCCGTTGTCTTTTTTTGTTTTTTAGTTTTTAGTTTTTTTATTTTTTTTGTTTTTTTTGTTTTAAATTAATATATAAATATAATTTAATTATTTTAAAATCATTACTTAATTTTTTATAAATTAATTTTATTTTATTTAATAAAATAATTATTATTAATTTTAATTTATGTATTATTATTTAAATAATAATTAAAAAATTTATTATAATATATTAAAACGGATGTGGCGACATGCTTTTTTTGTTTTTTAGTTTAGTTTTTTTATTTTCTTTTGTTTTAAATTAATATATAAATATAATTTAATTATTTTAAAATTATTATTTAATTATTTATAAATTAATTTTATTTTATTTAATAAAATAATTATTATTAATTTTAATTTATGTATTATTATTTAAATAATAATTAAATTTCTTTTATAAATATATTAAAACGGATGTGCCACATCCGTATCCGTTGCCTTTTTTTTATTTTAGTTTTTAGTTTTTTAATTTTTTATATTTTAAATTAATATATAAATATTATTTAATTTTTTAAAAATTATTATTTAATTATTTATAAATTAATTTTATTTTATTTAATAAAATAATTATATTATTTAATTTATATATTATTATTTAAATAATAAATAAAAAACTTTTTAAAAATCTATTAAATGGATGTGACACATCCGTTAACGGATGTGGCCACATCCGTTGAAGTTTTTTTTTTTTAAATAAAAATAATAAACTAAACTATAAAATATGTAAATAGATGTTACGGATGTCAACATCCGTTGAAGGTGAAAGGAATGTTGACATCCGTTTTATAGAAGTGCAAATAAGGTATGGGAAGGTGCAGGGAGCGGTTGGTGGTGGTGGAGGGAGTAACTCTCAAACAATTTTGGTTTTTAATCAACTCCAAGTGCTTGCAACAAAAAATTAGGAATCACTTTAAGTTTTAAAGTTTTTAAACCTATAACTGGTTTTTAGTTTTTGAAAAGTGAGTTTTCAGTTTTAAAATGTAATATTTTTCTAATTTTTAGTTTCAAAATAAATTAGTTTAACAATCTTTGTTATGTTACAAATAGTTCAACTTAATAAACATGTAGATGAATAATTTAGTTATGGTTTAATCAAAATTTAAATTATTATCATAACTACATTATACATTGATATGTCATAATTACTTGAAAATTTGTAAAAGTAAAATTTTTAAATTAACAAAAATTAATAATAACTATTTACATGTGACATTTTATTTTGAATAAAAAAGATATAACGACAAAATCATTTCTATTCATCAATAAAAATAATATAAAAATTTATGATATAACTATAAATATTTTGTTTTAAACTGTTGTATGATAGGACTGTTAAAAAACTACTATAAATGGTTAATTGAATTAAATTAAATTATTAAAAACCATTTAAATATAACTAGACTAAACTATGTTACAGTTCAATTTTATAAGAAAAGAGAAACTAATATAGAAATGAGTTAGTGTAACACTCGTAGGGTCGATGAGGATTTTTATAAGTATTGTCAGTCCTTTCAAAACATTGACAATTAATGCTTACAAAATGTTTCAAACAAAAAGGCTAAAGTTATGTTCTTATTCTTGATAAATGACTATCTTTCAATCCAATATATAGTTCATGTCCAATATAGTTTATGAAGATTGGAATTTAGAAGACACGAAGATAATGAAACATAATTATAAAATAAATTTTAAGTATTTACCGCATTTGTAATTTATTTTAATTTTGAAAGCTTGCTGGTCAAATTGTCTATTTTGTTTTGTTGGATGAGAATGTCGAGTAGTCGTTGGGTGAGAAAAATGTTTTACTCGATGAACAATTTGTTTTTGTTTTTAAAATTTGAAGCTATTTTTAGGTCTGAGGTCTTTGAGCTTTTTTTTAAGGTTTTTTAGATGACTTAAACATTTGAATACATATATAATACCAAATACATATGTAAACACCTTGGATGATCACTATACAAAAATTGGTTTTTAATTGAGAAATTATTCTCTTGGTTCTTGGATTATAACTATTGTTCTTATAAAAGATTGAATCATTTGTGGCGAATTTTCCTCGACTTATCAATATGTTATATTGTGGCGTTTTCAACTCTAATTCTTATCAAAGATGGTAATTTGTATGGTGAATCTTTTATGACTTATCAATTTGCTAGATTGTGGTCTCTCCATCTCTATCTTGTTTCACATTATTCTTTGATTATTTTGTTTGTGTCTCTTGAGAATTGAAATTCAGAAGCGATCACATTCTTTGTTGGATATGATTGTATTATCTGACACCAAAGCGTATGATATGTTATCCCGACTGTATTATATTATATCCAAATAGTATCATTTAGTATCCAGATGGTATCATTTGATATCTAGAACAAGGTTTTGATTTTAATTTTCTTTTTTGTCTTAATTTTTCTATCATATAAAGAAAACCTAATTTTTTTGAATGTGTGTGTTTGTGCTTTGTTTGGAATTTTATTTGGTTCATTATTCTTAAATTTTTTGTAAGGAATAAAACCCATGAAGTTTTATCCATTCCTTTGAGTTTTTATTTTTTTTTTGTGTTTTTCGTTCATAATTGTGCATTTCTACATTTGATATGTGAAAATTATCTATTTTTTTATGTTAATTATAATTCCAATTAACGCTTTACTTTGATTTTGCATGAATGTTGGTATTTGAAGGAAAATCTATTTAGTTTTCTTTGTTTGTGTGTTGAACTGCAAAATTGAAAAAAAAAGTGTATCCAAGTAAAAAATAGCAAATATATATTGAAAGAAAAGAAAAATAAAAAGTAAAGATCCAAGGGGCAAAAAAATTAAAATTGAAGAGTTCCACACAAATTTTTTCTACATTTTTTTGTTTGTAGTTTATTGATAAATTAGTTTTTTTATTAGAGTCACCATGTCTTTCAATTAACTCTTTTTTGGTAATCATATTATTTTCTAATTTTATTATTTTGTGTTTTTTAAAATTCCTTAAACTTATGTGTAGAGTTTTGTTTTTACCTTTGACCCCTTATTCAAAATTTAAATATTGTAATGTTTTTTACATTGATTTGTCACTCTTTGTCAAGGGCTAAAGAAGATTTGAGTGAAAAAGGCAAGAAAGTACTTAAAAAAGAGAGCTAACAAGTGTGATACACGAATAAGTTTTTGAGTGATAGCAAAAAAGACTATTTCCTATAGCTAGAAAATGTTATTTCTTACAAAAAAAATTTCTAACTAAGCTTTAAAATTTATAGGTAATATAATGTTACTTATGGATTACATATGAACAAAAATTCGTAGATAAAATGGTTGTAGATAACGTTACTTACGAATTTTTTCATAGATAACGTTACTTTGATCAATACCCAGATAAATCTATAAGTAATTATGTACGAATAAATCCGTAAGTAATCATATATGAATACTGTAAATAGTTATATAGAGATAAATCCGTATACAATTACCTATGACCGTATGTAATTACTTACAAATAAATCCGTATGTAATGCGATAATAAATATTGACAAAATTAGTTTTTTTTGCACAATTATACACACTTAGACATTGATTTATGTACAACAATAAACAATATATATTAAGTCAAAGTAACCATTAATATTTCTAATGAAGAAAGACATTTATCAAATGTTATTGCTAAATAGTTTTTTCCCTATAATACTTCTATCACAACACTACAAATTCTTACATCTCAGTATAAAAATATTGAACTTCTATAGGGCAATTCAGTACACTTATCTGATATGTAATGTCTTCATTAATCTCCTCATCATTTTGTAATACTGGTCTAAGGTATTTAAGTTTAGAAACTTGTAGTATGACACCTTCCATTTGTTACTTGCAATTGCAAAATAAATGATGTATATACTACACATATAGATAGTGAAAAGCAAAAAAGAAACCCATATTAAAGAAACTTATGATAAATAATTAGGTCAGTTTAAGCACAAATCATGATCAATCTAGAAGCTTAGGGCAAGTGTATTGATTTATATATTAAGGGATTCAATACTTAATACTATATAAAAATTGTATATAATTATGATTTTTTTTTTCAAAATTAATCCTTGCGAATCTAATGAGAGGAAGAAGATGAACCACCAAGTAGCCACCGTGACGTGCCACTAGCCACCAGCGTCGTGCCACCAGTCACTAAAGTTGCGTCACCAGCATCGCGCCACCACCACTAGTCACCAGCGTCTCGTTACCGCTTCCGCCATCAGTGCCGTGCACGTTGCACCGCCTCACCATGCAAGGGAGAACGACCAACAAAAATAGGGGAGACGGTTGACATCTTGACAACGGTTGGGGTCAACGACGGTAGTGAGCGCACATAACTGGTGGGTGATGGGGGGTTTCGGATTGGGGGAGGTTGAGAGGTTGGGGGGATTTGTGAAAAACGAAAATGAGGGAGAAAGAAAATCAGTTTCTGATTTCATAAACTCGAAGGACTTACCGACGACCATCGCCCGTCCTAATGACTAATGTAAAATATTTGGAGTTTTAGCTAGTTACTTTGTCCAACCGCGTAAAATATTGAGTA